GCCATTAAAAATAAATCATTGATTGTCAACAATACATTTACTTTAAGTAATACAAATGACTGAGTAACTTGTTTCGACATGCCAACCAATGAGTTTGAAAACTAGTTTCCTCTGAACGGCTGTTCTTATCATTTCCTTACAGTAATCAGCAAAAAGAATTCTCTCTTGCACCGAGTTTGCCCCAAGCTGCCAGTCTCCTTCCTAGAATACTAAACTAATCAGACCGAGGGCGTTTCTATCATGATTATCGATTTAGATGATTAAAACTTTAAATATCACGAAATGGTTTACTCTGGGTCAGAGTAAATTACATTATCAAATTCCGCCCCTTCCCCATACCATATGCCAACTTTCAAGTCTATCTATCTATCTATCTATCTATCTATCTATCTATCTATCTATCTATCTATCTATGACATATATGTAAACTTTGTTGATCTATCCATTTATGTACCTGGCTTTATCTATATCGATCCATTTATGGGTCTATCTACGTTATATATGTATTCATAATATGTACGTTATGTTACATACGAATGCTTAGTTATATATACGTACACTTGCAATAGATCTACATGTGTTTAGGCTAACCTGCAATAGGCAAGATTGAGGTAAAAAGGTGAAACAGCCCTTTGAACATAACTACAAAGTATTAAAAAAAGAATTATTGTAAGTGGTTTAACGCCCCCATCGCAACAGGGCAGGCCGTGTATGAGGCAGGCGTTTAACGCCCCCATCGCAACAGGGCAGGCCGTGTATGAGGCAGGCGTTTAACGCCCCCATCGCAACAGGGCAGGCCGTGTATGAGGCAGGCGTCGACGCTGTCTGTCAGAGTCAACCGTGGCTGGTACACACACACACACACACACACACACACACACACACGCGCGCGCGCGCGCGCGCGCGCGCACACATACACACTAATACATTATTTTATTGAAATTCGGCTGTTGACAGTGACTGAAATGCATGTGTTTTATTTTGTTGGTACCTACGAATCTCACTGGGGACATGTAGATCAAGGGGATTATGTTATAGGGTCCTTGATGTATAGTATCTGTCATCGATCCCTGTCTATTATCGATCGCGGGAAAAATCTCCGTCAAAATGATTTGTCTTGTTTGATGGATCTAGACGACCTTTGAAATAAACACAGAATGACCATTATTTCTACGATTGTTGTTCATTTCAAATGGTGTGTGCATATCTCACACACACACATGCACACGTGCGGGCGCGCACACACACACACACACACAAATACACACACACACACACGCATACACACACACACTCACACACACACACAC